GTCAAATGTTGATGCAAAAAAAAAGCTAATACTGTAAGTATGGATCACTTGCGTTGTTACCGACATCTGGTGAAAATTTCATGTCATTAGCACCTCTAGTAATATATTTACTGAGAAAAATGGGGACGTGTTCAATACTTATTTTACCCACTGTATAGTTGAGCTGTGATTATGCTGGGCCTTTTGTTACTCATGAAATACAAATGGAATCAAGAATAGTTAGTATGATGACATACTCTCCAATGAAATGTCATTTCTTATATCATACAATGCATCTTCAGCAGATTAAATAAAGTTCTTTATCTTAACATACATTGTTCCTGAGGTGCCTTTGTTTGATGTGCCTATATTTTTCACTTTGGCTTTTTGCTTCATCTTTGGCTCACATGTACTTTTCAAAATAAACAGAATTGTCTTACACTACCCACATATAATTGCCACACGTACACATACAACTAATTCAAGATGGCCACCACAACAAATTCTTTCATTTTCTTCTTTATTTTAATACTATGTTCTCTGCAGAAACTACAAATWATTATAATAATAAAAAAAGTCAACATTCTTCGTTCACGTTACATTATCGAACAATTTTTGTTCCTCGTCTTCTAAGTCTCAAACGCTACGGTTACACAGCCTAACCTTGAAAACTACAGAGAGGTAAAAGAAGAGAAAGAGAGAACAATCGAAACAGCAAAAGCCCGAGAAAACATGCTTCTATTTCTTTGTCGGCGCACAAAGACACAACTCATGTAAATGTATTTACATTCAAACATACAATCAGCACCAGAAAGCTTGGACCAAAAAATTCCAAAAAAAAAAAGACTCCCATTACGTTGACAAATTTCAAAATCGAGAGCCGCAGGTGGACAAGTTGTAGAAACATTTAGCTACTGTAGCATTTATTTTAAATAGTGATGTTGAAATCTTTAACAAATATATGAAATGACCCATCATGTTTTTTTTCCTCTGATGGTGGGCTTGAACAAATGCTACATATTTAATGGCTGCTACAAAGTGGTCCGACAACAGGCCCTTCAATTTTAAAGAAAATTACACGAAAGACTTGTATAAAATGCACTCATTAATTTTTTTTAGGTTTTTTGACATTCATCGCATAGTGAGACACAAATGTCCACAGGACACATCGAAGGGTCATTACGATACCAGTTTAGTGTTTAGTTCATTCAAAAGATTTTCAGATGAAGTCGAGAACTTTACGCTGTCGAGTGTAAACAGTAGTTTAGTTGCATCCTTATTGACTGACTTTTTTTCTTCTTCGCACCTGAGGGGATGAATTGTGGCTGAAGAGTAAACCTCTGAAAACACAGTGAATTTCTAACTGGTATATTCTTACAATTTATCAAAGACAATCTCAGAATCATCAATGTAAAAAAAATCAAAGACAGCTTRGATACATTTCTCCTACTCTATAATCAACATTCTTCCATTTAGGAGTGTTTAACCCTGTTTACGCATCATAAAAAAATGCTGAAGGTTAATGAAAAGAGCATCAAAAGTGCTGGTAGAGCAGTTACAGACGCGCTTTAAAATTTGCGACTGTAAAAACAAAACAAAAAAAACCATCCTTGACATGCTGCTCACCTGCGGGGCTGGAAACATTCAAAGCAGGTGTGCTAATAAAATCTTAATATTTCTCCAGATCAAGTCAAATTTTAAAGAAATTTCCATGATGCTTCGACGCATCAAAAATACATCTAGTTCTAACCTAAAGGCATGCTCCTGTTAGTGATGAAGCTGCCACAAGTATCACATTTTAAATCTTTTTTTTGGCTCTAGCCTCGCCTATTTACAGCAGTCATGTGCAGTTCAAACAGCAAGAATTTTCTGAATATGACTGAAATTTGACTTTGTTTCACACGGCAGCTTTTAATGTCTTCTTTAAAGCCAAGTAAAAGACTTCCTGAGGGGAATTTAGTGAGCAGGTTACAGTACAGGAGGCAGCTTTGACAGGATGTTTGCCATAATAATAATAATAATCTTATATAATATTCATATGGTCCGTYTTATAGGAGGTGAAACTTTATGCTGGGAAATGTATGTTCTGTTGGGGAGGCTGTACAAAAGGAAATCAAATGTAATTCTGATGAATTAAAAGTTTAGAATTGATTTCCCTGAAATACGCCCGCACGCTGAGGAGTCAGTGCATCACAGAGATAAAGAATAGAAAAGATCAAACCAATTAACAAATTCATACTAACAAAATAAGTTATGGAAAAGTTAATACAGGTTCAGAAAAACTATTCTAATTTATTTATTACAAAGAAGTAAACAGGATTAACCTGCCTACATAGCTTATCGACACATTTTACATTAGAAAGTCCTCAGAAGTACAGTTATGTGCAGAACTTGGTGCGTCCACTGACAAATTACCGTACACACTTTCATGACCGGTTAGATTTTTAACATTATTTTTAGTTTAATTGAATTAATAATAATCAAAAGTACAGCTGCACTCTTTTGAAGTGRAGTTTCTGTAGAAAGGTTATGAACAATTAATATCTTACCTGTTGTAGGTAGCTCTTTGAATGACCTCAGTTTGGAGAAAGAAAGTTTTAATCTGACTAGACTGACAAGTTAATAATCTGAGCAGTTTCTTATTGTGTGGGTGGAGTTTAGAATATAGGTGGAGGTTCTTGTGTGGGTGGAGCTTGGCAAACTGTGATTGGTCAGACTGACTTGTCTTGTGGGGGGCAAGTTAAAAGATAAGGTAATGATAGTTGTAAAATTATTGTGAACATGTAAATGTAATTCATGGACTTCAAATTTGGTGGGCCCACTAGAGTCAAACAGACCAATCATGTCTTGGATAAACTCCTTCCACACAAGAAACTCCCACTTAATGACAGCAGAGACCCCCCATCTCCCTACAGTGCATTTGGGGTGGCATCTTAATGCGGTAAAAACCAACAAAAACATGCAGTTAGCAGCTACACACCTCCTGTTAGAAGGCGGAGCGTTGGCACAGGGCATGCATCACGCCACATTCCATTTTTTTTTAGTGGAACCTAACCTACCTTAATATTTATTACTTATTATTAAATTATATTGCTATTAATATTTTAGCTTGAAAACTCACAAAAAAGCATGAGAATAGAAGACGTAAGATATTAACTGTTCATTAACTTTCCCACAGAWCCACACTTCAAAATACTTGAACAGTCCTGTGTTTTCAAATCAGCTAACTTTTGAATCTAGAAGTTTTCTTTCTTTTCAAAAGCAGAAAATATCTAGTCGGCCCAGAGGATGCTAAATGTTTGCACATAACCGGTTGTTGGAGGAAAACATCTTCAGATTCTTTGCTTTCTCTAGGAAACCATCACACATTCCACTTTGAAATCTACAAGTTTTAAAGTCACAAACACTGAATTTTCTTTACATTTCAAGCTTAATAAATAAGTCACAGCAATGATAAATTCTACATTTAAACTGGAAGACTTTCACAGTACGTGCCTGCTTAAGCAGGAAAGTACATGTATTAAATAAATCGGACACAAACGTCACATTGTAAATAAATAAATAGATAAATAAATAAATGCACGACGTTTCAAACAGTGATTTCCTGTGCTAGGTTTCCTTCTTAGCTTTGAGCTCTCTGTTAGCTGTGTAATTCTGTTCTTGTTGTYTCTGTCGAGACACAACAGGCTGAAACCTTCCATTGAGGTAAACAGGAAAAAACAGCAAAGTGTAGGTTTTGCACGTCGACCTGAGGGAGAAGCGAAGAGTAGCTCGTGTGTTGAAGGAAGACCTGGCAAGGTTTTCAAAGACGTTACAGTAAGTTCTTTGTATGCTGCAGGTAACATGGCTGGGGTTCCCGTACAAATAAAACCTATCACCTCGGAACTAATTAGAAAATGTGAAGCAGACCTTAGTGAGATTAAAATAAAGCATCCTTTGCTTTGACGTTTCCAAATTCTGAATCAAGAGATTTGAGTGAAGCATCGGTCACTCTGTGCTGGTGTGGTGGAAGGACCAAATATAAGGCGCTTTGCTTGGGCTTTGTTTTGGATGAAAAGAGAAATCTGAGAATCATATATGAACTCCTATTCTAACAGATGTACAGCTTATTTTACCGGGGTGTGTGTTTTTAACCACACTCGAGTGTATTCTGGTGAAACGAAAAGGTGCTAAATTCCATTGTTATCACGGTACTGTGCAGGGTTCATAACTCCCCATGCAAATAGGTTTAACAATCAACAATTCTTGTGCCACTTTTGTACAATAAATACAATCTATGTTTCAAAATTCCGCATTAAGTCAAATCTCAGTGTACGTAACATTGAGGGGACCCAGGTTAAGACTGTAACTTCAGTGCTTTCACAGTGCCTGTACAGTTTTGTGATGAATTGAGGTCACAGTYGACGAAGAGAAGGGGAAATAAACTGGAGTAATTGGGCTTCAGAGATCAGATTTTAACTCTGTAAAGAGGCATTTGAGTTGAAGCGGCTGGCCGAYGCCCGGTGCGTGGGCGTGTTGGGCCCCGGGGAGTAATTCTGATTGGCGGCGGCTCTGTGGGACGGGGAGCAGCAGTACTGCGCTTGTTTTGGGCAGCCGGGACAGTGAGTGGGGGAGTCGCACCCGGCGAAGGGCGAGGAGGACAGGAGCGGGGACGAGGGGACGGGCGAGGTGGAGAAGGAGCGGTGCAGCGGGGACGAGGCCGGGGACATGAGGGGGCTGGTCTGGAGAAGCCACAGCAGCTCCTCGTTGTTCCGGCTCAGACGCTTCTTCTCTGTGCTCTCCTTCTCCACGGACTCCTGCAGGTTGGCGTTCTTCTCCGACAGCTGCCTGTTGGGTGAATGACATACATTAAACATTATTAAAATAATAATTTAAATACAAAATATCRAAATATTACAATGTCCTTCACAGCAACAGTGGAGGGAGTAAAATCAATAAACACAATTTACAAAAAGCTATTCACACACTTTTGATTTGATACAAAGCAATACACTGTGGTGTCATACAGTGCAATAAAATATATACATTTTATTGTTTCCCATATTGTTTTCTTTTTTTGTTGTTCTGCTTTAGGAAATTTGTAGAAAAACAAATTGTAAATTAGTTTTAATAAATTTCCTTGTAAACCATGTATGGTTTGTTCTTTGTTGTTTTTTTTTTCATTTCAAAATAAAATGAGATTATTATTATTTTATTTTATTTTATTTTTTAGCTTGTTTTTTTAACTAACTTAAAAAAATGACAACTGCAAAACTACCTAAAGCTATGTTTTTTAAATTTTATTTTTATTTGAATGGTTAAAGCAAAGACAAGCTTTCTGTTTTGTTAGTGCAGCATTTGGTAACTGGAAATCATGGCCTGAACTTCCAGAGATTTATGTTTTCACTTCTTATGTTTGTTTTGGTCAACGCATCTCATCAACAAAATTAGTTTAATATTACTGTACTGTATAAGACAAAATTAACAAAATTAGTCGAACAAAATTAGTTTAATATTTCAAGTTATGCAGAGTCAGGTTTGAGTGCAGCTATTGCCAATATCTTTAGGAATAGTTTACATTTATAAGCAGCCACTGTAAACCCCTTTATTCTGTCATTTCTAGTGTCGCTACATATTTAAAAAGAAAATAACCATATAATTTATTTTGGATTTAGAAATTTGAGCAAAAGCAAAACACTGTAGATTTTTTATTTGTTCAAAATTTATATCTACGTTTAGGTTTAAAAAAAACAGCTTTCTTTTTTTGATTTTATTTTGAAACGGAAAAACCAAAGAACWAGYCAACCGGATTCTTGTGAGATGTGTTTTTCTTTTTTCTAGTTTATTGTTGTGTTTGTGAAATCTTGTGTTTTCTTTTATTTTAATGTGCAATCTATTTGTCTTTCTGTTCTCAAAGTACCTCTATCTGCCCACATCTGCTGTGAGTATTACATGAGCTGCTTTATATAAAGCAGTGAAAATGTGATTCCAGATGGTCTCTTACCTGGACGTGGCCAGGTTCATGTCAATGCGAGCCTTCAGATCTTCATTCTGTTGCTGCAGAACCTGGACCTTCTCCTCCAGGAACACGTTCTTTTGGGCCTGCTCAAAAGTACGAATACAACAGCGATGCAATCTTTTATTCACAACACTGACCGCTGTGTGTACAGAAAGGAAGACTTGTATTTGTTAACCTGGTGTTGGAGACTGAAACTAGCTGGATTATTTGAGCCTACCACTTTCTCCAGGTCAGAAATCTTCTTCTCCTGCTGGTGAATCTGCTGGTTCTTCATCTCAACAACTTCCTTCAGGCTCTTCAGGTCCTGCTCAATGTGCTGGTAGGGAGCTAAAGCATCCTAGTGTGAGGGGAAAATAAAAAAAACAAACTGATCATCACTGCTTTGACACACATTGACAGAATCACAGCTGTTTTGGTGGCTTGAATGATGTTAAACATGGTTTTAATGCTAATTAGAGAAATCTCAGTTTTATTGTTTTTTCCTCACAATGATTTGTTCATCTGTACTCCTTCTCAAAGCTTCCTCAAAGCGTTTGGCTTTGTCCTTTAGACTCTCATTTTGAAACGTGAGAGTGTCCACTTGATCCTGGGCAAACAGATGCAACACAAAACTCAACATTATAAATTCACGTATTCAAGAATATACGGTATAAAGTTTTTTTTACGAAGCATAATACCTGCAGAGAAAGCCTGAGTTTCTCAAAGTCTTCCTCCAGAAGACTCTTTTGCTGCTCATGAGCTTTCCTCAGGTCTGCACAGAGACGTAGGAGAACAACAAAAGAGATTTGATTTGATTTCCAGCAGCGCCTGCATCCTAATTTTTTTAACCAAGTCCCCCCACCATACCTCTCATGGTATGGRCGTGCTCTTCATGCAGTGTTGCCATGGTGATATTATGCATGTCTCTGAGCTCTTGAATGGCTGCCTGGTGGTTGACTGTCATCTCCTCCAACTAACAATCCCACAAAAATGCCCACTCAATAAAGCCTTCTGGTGACAGCTCAGATTTCACATAAAAGGTTAGTACACCACCCACGATGCCCCTCCCCCCTCTCTCTCTCACCTGCTCCTGTTGCTGAGTCGTCAGCTCCTCCATCTCTGACCGATGCTCCACTTTTAGGTGCTCGAGCCCAGCTGTGTGACACTTCCTGAGCCCTTCTTCTACAGCAGCCAGCTCGGCCTCCTGCTGCAGCTGGAGCTCCTGCAGCTCGCGCTCAAACGCCACCTCCAGCGCTGCTTTGTCCTGCTGGAGTCTCTCCCATCGCAGCAACTGGGAGGCTGCGCACCAAGGACAAGGAATCTCAGAACTCGATGTATGTTTTCATACTGCAAACCACTGTCTTTAAAGGCTAACAAAGGGAAGGGTTTAGATTTAAAAACAACAGACTTTCTTGCAAATTCTCTGCTTATCTTCACTTACTCATATCCTCTTTGATCTTTCGCATTTCCAAGGATAGTTTCCTTTGACATTCCTCAGCAGTGTCATTCTGAAATAAAATAAATAATTTGTTGTTACACAGGAATAAAATTATATACGCAGCAAAGGAAAACACTTATGTAGAAGAATCCAGCTCTGTAATATCCATTATGTGTGATTGCTGCCAGCAGAGGGCGCTTAGACCCTCAGAGCCAGGCCCGCACCTCCACCGCCTGCATTTCTGCACAGTGTTGAGACTGCAGAACTCAAAACAATGACCATAACAAAGTCAGACAGTCCCTCGACAGAGTGGATCACAGCTTTAATGCCTCAGAGGCTGAATCATCCCATGAAACCAGCTTGGCGACACACTGAACTCCTGAAGACCCTCTCCTCAGTGACAAACTTTCACATGGTGTTGAATCATATCATGGTGTTAAATACTGTATTGGGTCTATTTGCGTGTCAAACAATCTGGGTTCAGAGTAAATAGAGAGGGATCAGGTATTATTGCCTACTCCCTAAAGGTGAAAGTGGAGTTATGTTTTTGCCGCTGTGCGTGTGAGTGTGCATTTATGTTTGTGTGCTTGTTGTTACTAAAATATCTCATGAAACACCAAATGGATTTTAATGAAACTTACAGAATATGGTGATTAGATTTATATCTACAGCTGATTAAAATTAGGAGTAAACCTAATTCAWGATGGCTGCCACCATCAAGGGTCTTAAAAACATTAAAATTGCTACAACTCAGTCAACAGGTCCTGACCTAAAATTTGGTGTACTAGCTWGGGGTGTAWCAATACATCGATCCACATCATATAGATTAAATGCTTGATTCAGTTACATCGAGGCAAAATGAAAACATAGATCCATATCATCAATCAAATGTCCATTTAAAGGGGGTCAAGGGTATTAAGCAWATCAACTTTTTTGAGCTTTATATCATGTTATGTTATTCCCTCATCAAAATCATACCTAGAGTGTTGCTTTGACTTATTCATGCATGTTGGAGAGATCCTTGAATCTGCCTAAACACATGTTGGTACAAAGTACCGCCTATTTAGACAAAGCTCCTCCCTGGAGCTCAGTCTGCAGCTGAGCTCCCACCCCGCAGAACACCCCTATCCTGAAGCACTGTTGTGAAGACGTGCTGAAGTGGGCGTGTCTGAAATGGTAGGAGGTTCTTAAAGAGGCAGAGGCCAATTTCAAGGTGTTTAAATAGRGTAATTTATTTTTGATATATGCAGCACTTTTATAACAACTGAAGGTAACATAGTTGCTTGATTGTGGTATAGAACTGAACTATGTGTCTGAAAAATAACAAAAACACTTTTGTGTTGGATGAATACATGATATTGTATCATATTACTGCAGAAGTGTGAATTGAATCAAAAAGGTWTCATGATAGACTTTGAGATATTGAGAAACATCCAATCATCCAAACAAATCAATATAGTATTGTATTGAAATAAAGCTGGGCTAGTAGTAGCATCTGAGAGTGATCTGACTGCTAACAGACTGCACCAAATCTTTGTTTAAAAAATACTACAACTGTATTTATTCAAGTATAATACAGAAATGTAAGCTTAAAAATCATCCATAAAGTGTGTGTGTGTGTGTGTGTGTGTGTGTGTGTGTGTGTGTGTGTGTGTGTGTGTGTGTGTGTGTGTGTGTGTGGGGGGGGGGGGTGTTATTATACAGGGGTTATTGATAATTAGATTTTAATGCTTTTTAAACTAAAAAATGATGATTGTATTATACTTGAGATTGTATTATACAGGAATAAATACGGTCAACTCTGTCAACTTGTTTGCGAAATATCTCAAATCACTAGATGATATTTAATAAATCACTCAGACAATGATCAATAATCTACTACTGATTAACTTTCAGAGCCAACCCAAAATGACCCACTGCAGTTAACTGACTTCAAACACAAAAATGTCCATAACTTGGTCAAATTTACAGGTAAATCACTATCTTTAATTTTGCTAGTAGCTAAGAGTCTTTTACAACTTATACTTAGAGAATGACATCTTGCATGAAATATATGACCACCTTGAGGCAATAATGCTGAGCGGTGATGATGAAGGCTTCAAGACCCAAGGACATCTTCTTTAGCTCATCTCTCAGAGCCTTCAGCTGCCTCTCCTGCTGTTCGCAGTTCCCCTGCAGCCTCTGAACCTGAGTCACAAAAACATACAGCCGAGTCAAACCGGAAGGGAGTAAACTTTTCGTGTGGACTCACTTTCTCCCAATCAACTCACCTCCTGCCTCTGCTCCTCCTTTTCCCTCTCCTCCACTTGCCTTTCCTTCTCTTTCTGCTGGGCCTCCTCTTTCTCCCTCTGCAGGTTCTCCTGGTGTTCCTGCTGCAGCCTCAGGGGGGCCACGCGGCGAGGCGACCCTGAGGGAGTGGAGCCCCGCACTGCTGCTGCAGGCCGCTGACCAGCCTGGACTGTGGGGGAGAGGAGAGAAAATTAAATTAGTGGAAACGAGCATGTGTTTTCTAAAAACAAACATTTAGATTCGTTATTGATGGATTTAAAAATACCCCACATATGTCATCAATAAGTCATGATCTAATTTTTGAATCTATAATAAGGAGGTTGATTTGCATTCAGTCAAAGGAGRTTTGACCTGACTTACTGCTAATGATTGCTCTTAGGTGATAAATGACTAAGTTAATTGAATCTTTTCTGCAGAAGGAGCCTTCTTCTTATTTCTAGGCCAGACTTCTTCACAATGGGAGCTCACTAAATACAACTGGCATCAAAATAATGTTAGAAATACGTCGCAAATAATCTATGATGGCTTTACAGTAAGTGCATAGAGGTGCGTGAGTTTAAGCAATATCATTAGTGTAAGTAAAAGGTTTAATCCATTAACAGTGGAGGTCATTCAAAGAGCCTGGCAAAATAAAACACTTGTCATTTTCCTCATGASAGACATAAACATTAGCTTGTCGCTGACTTACAGGCAAGTCCATTAACCTCTGTGTGYGCCCCTTGTCTTGAATACACACCTTTTTCTTTTTTTAAGAATTATTCAAAGCTCCAGAATGTGCACCTCGGCCTCAAACAAATCGTTCAGGTCTATTGGAGGAATAGGGGAGGGGTTTCCATGACAGCACGAGGCAGAGATCTTGGGGTGCRGGGTCCCAGGTAATGAGCAAAAAATATTGGATGGAGGAAAAGTGGGGTAAGGGTGGTGGATGGTGGTGGGAAATGGTGTAGAGAGTCGAGAGAGCATAGCAAAAGCTTACGTGGAGCAGAGGGAGGGGTCCTGAATGACTGTAATGGTGATAAATGTCTGAAGGCGATTCAGTGGGGGTGAAAGTGATAAATGGAACAAAAAAATGGAGAGTATATCTCTCTGAAAGAAGAGCTGGACTCAGCCAGATTAAATTTAAAGATATACAATATGCAAACATGTAAATCTTTTGTTTTCTTTACCTTGAAGTCCTGTTAGTGCCTCTTTAAAATACTGCACACACCCCTACAGAAAACTGTCCGCTCCATTTGAAATGTTACAGAGAGCGTGTTGAATACTAAATACGAGAGAAGGCGGGGTGCAGAGGATAACAGAGGACATGATGGATGTGGATTACCAATGGCAGCAACAACAAGAAAAAAAAAGATGGCATCTTTGTGGAGAGCAGAGAATATTTATTTTGTTTTAGCGTGTTCTCAAAGGGAACTGAGGCTGAATTATTTCTGAGGCAGCCGACAGCTTCATCTCAGCACACTTCTCGGTACAGAGTGGAGATCAACATGAACTGGTAGAAACTAGTCAACGTCTAGAATTCTCGTTAGCAAGAGGAAAGGCTATAGGGTTGAAGAAAATAAACAAAGATACAGGGAGGAAAAATGTTTTAAAAAGAGCTGTGCTACTAAATGCAAGGGGAAAAATGAAAGACTCTGAGAAATGGCTGCCAGTTWTAGCAGGAAACATTTGGTGGTCTGCTGCAGTCCCATGACTAAACCATTTTACCACTGCAGAGCTGATGGAAGCAAAAGGCTGGACTTCATCTCATCGCAGATTAAACTGAAGCAGCAGACATTTGAAATGATCACATTTCTCCTCCGTGTTGGTGGGTTTAAATACCAGAAACTGAAGTATTAGAATTAGAATTGACTATATCACATTAAGATAATTAATTTATGTTAAATTTAGGATGCACTAGTCTAGTTGTTTCAGTTTATATACATATATCAAGGCTGC